CAGCTACCACACCACTACTAACCATAACAGGTATTCCCGCGATTAAGATGTTCTCCACTACTATCTATAACAAGTACCACACCACTACTATCTATAACAGCTACCACACCACTACTAACTATAACAGGTACCAAACCACTACTAACAATAACAGGTACCAAACTACTACTAACAATAACAGGTACCATACCACTACTAACTATAACAGCTACCAATCCACTACTATCTATAACAAGTACCACACCACTACTATCTATAACAGCTACCACACCACTACTAACTATAACAGGTACCAAACCACTACTAACAATAACAGGTACCAAACTACTACTAACAATAACAGGTACCATACCACTACTAACTATAACAGCTACCAATCCACTACTAAATATAACAGGTACCAAACCACTACTAACTATAACAAGTATCACACCACTAATAACTATAACAAGTATCACACCAGTAATAACTATAACAAGTATCACACCACTAATAACTACAACAAGTACCAAACCACTATTATCTATAACAAGTACCACACCACTACTAACTATAACAGCTACCACATCATTACTAACCATAACAGCTATCACACCACCGCTAACTCTAACAGGTACCAAACCACTACTAACTATAACAGCTACCACATCTTTACTGCTATTGTTAGTAATGGTTTGGTACCTGTTATAGTTAGTAGTGGTGTGGTAGCTGTTATGGTTAGTAGTGGTGTGGTACCTGTTATAGTTAGTAGTGGTGTGGTACCTGTTATAGTTAGTAGTAGTGTGGTACCTGTTATAGTTTGTTATAATTAGTAGTGGTATAGTACCTGTTATAGTAAGTAATGATGTGGTAGCTGTTATAGTTAGTAGTGGTGTGGTACTTGTTATAGATAGAAGTGGTTTGGTACATGTTATAGTTACTAGAGGTGTGATATTTGTTATAGTCAGTAGTGGTTTGGTACCTATTATATTTAGTAGTGGATTGGTAGCTGTTATAGTTAGTAGTGGTATGGTACCTGCTATTGTTAGTAATGGTTTGGTACCTGTTATAGTTAGTAGTAGTGTGGTAGCTGTTATGGTTAGTAGAGGTGTGGTAGCTGTTATGGTTAGTAGTGGTGTGGTACCTGTTATAGTTAGTAGTAGTGTGGTACCTGTTATAGTTAGTAATGATGTGGTAGCTGTTATAGTTAGGAGTGGTTTGGTACCTGTTATGGTTAGTAGTAGTGTGGTACCTGTTGTAGTTAGTAATTATGTGGTAGTTCTTATAGTTAGTAGTGGTTTGGTACCTGTTATAGTTAGTAGTGGTGTGGTACCTGTTATGGTTAGTAGTGGTGTGGTACCTGTTATAGTTAGTAGTTGTGTGGTAACTGTTATAGTTAGTAGTGGTATGGTACCTAGTAGTGGATTGGTAGCTGTTATAATTAGTAGTGGTATAGTACCTGTTATAGTTAGTAATGATGTGGTAGCAAATATAACAGGTACTGCTCTTCTACTAATCATAGCAGCTACCACACCTTAGTAGTGGTTTGGTACCTGTTACTTTTAGTAGTGGTTTGGTACCTGTTATAGTTAGTAGTGGCGTGGTAGCTGTTATAGATAGTAGTGGTGTGGTACTTGTTATAGATAGTAGTGGAGAACATCTTAATCGCGGGAACACCTGTTATGGTTAGTAGTGGGACTACACATTCGAGAGAATCTGAGTAAAGGTAAGTAATTCAGGCTTTGTGAACCCTAACTGAATATCAGAGAACATCTTAATCGCGGGAATACCTATTATGGTTAGTAGTGGTGTGGTAGCTGCTATGGTTAGTAGAAGTGTAGTACCTGTTATATTTAGTAGTGGATTGGTAGCTGTTATAATTAGTAGTGGTATAGTACCTGTTACAGTTAGTAATTATGTGGTAGTTCTTATAGTTAGTAGTGGTTTGGTACCTGTTATATTTAGTAGTGGATTGGTAGCTGTTATAGTTAGTAGTGGTACCTGTTATTGTTAGTAGTGGTTTGGTACCTGTTACTTGATACATGCTGCAATTCGCTGAAAACCAATGTCTCATCACTCATCGTGTATCGCACTCTAGGTATGCTAGCCTCACACTTTAGCCTCATGTTTCCATTGGTAAAGTGGTCATGTCTTATCAGGAAACGCAAGCTGAGACAGGATACCTCCAGCCCATCATCATGTAAGATGGTTGAATAAACTGTCTCGTACTCTGGCCCCACCTACATAGATATAGAACAATGATTGATAGATAGATAAGAGTGACTATAATTTTATTCTTTAATTATTTTAGAACATTTAAATTAATATCAATACAGAACTTAGCAGTTCAACTACGACGCTAGTCTAAACACCACAACATTAGTATTAACTACAAGCTCATATTTGTGAATGAATTAAGATTGAAGATTTAATCCTGGTTGTTATCAAGCCTACTTGCATGAATTAAGGTTGAAGGTTAATTCTGGTTGTTATCAGGCCTAATTGGACAGATTAAAATTGAAGGTTTAAAACTGGTTGTAATCAGGCCTAATTGGATTAATTAAGATTGAAGGTTTAATTCTGGTTGTTATCAGGCCTAATTGGATGAATTAAGGTCAGAAGTTTAATTCTAGTTATTATCAGGCCTAATTGGATGAATTAAAGTTGAAGGTTTAATTCTGGTTATTATCAGGCCTAATTGCATAATCAGATGCATCAGCATAAAGCCAATCCGTTTTTATAACTTATGAGTTTACTGTCAAAAGTTTATTGTGGTTTAAAACACATCTAACTCCGGCAAGGATATTGTTAGATTCATGCATGTGTGTAATCAAGCAATTTCTCTGAGAAATATCTTACCGTTTCAAAATGAGTTTTGAAGTCGGAAATAATAATTATTGAAACCGTATGACAATGGAATAATTTAATGCTGGTTTTAGTTTCCCGTCAATACCTGTCTATTTACCACAGTATAAAGCAGAAATTAATTACAAATTATTACAATTACTCATTCAATATTTTCAAATATCAATAGCAAAAATATGTTCACGATGTGAACGAGACAAACCTAACCTTAAAAAAATCATAGGTATGTCAATTTAAACACACCTCGTTGTATTTATTACGCTTTTTCTTTATTAATTCAGATTAAAAGATTGAAGATAAAACAAACTTTTCTTAAGGGGTGTGGTAGCTAGAGGGGCGGTACCATATTATACATGCCAATTTTTTAAAAATATCTTTATCTTATTATTAGCAACCGAAAATGATGTACGATTGATTTTCTAGAAAATTTCAATTTCACATATACATTATTATATGAGGTTTTATTATTGTATGTAATTTACATTTAGCTACCTATCTGGTACTCTTGGACATTTCTATTTTCTGTGTCATTTTAATAACCCATATTTGTCATAATATCTTTAATATCTCTAGTAATTATAATCCTAATAATATCTGTACATCGCTAATAATATTAGTTGTTTGTAAACCGCTAATAATATGTACACCGTTAATGACTGTAATAACCTACACAACGCGTCTTTTGTCTAATAATAATATCACTATAGTAACTACTGAACATAATAAGCTTATTTGTAAACCGCTAATGATATGTACGCCGTTAATGACTGTAATAACTTACACAACGCGTCTTTTGTCTAATAATAATATCACTATAGTAACTATTGAACACAGTAAGTTTATCCGTAAACCGCTAATGATATGTACACCGTTAATGACTGTAATAACCTATATAACAAGTCTTTTGTCTAATAATAGAATCACTATAGTAACTTTTATTAGGCTATTACATCTCGGATACCCTGGAAGGCGATTACTTTCAAAAACCTCTATATCTTAATATACCAAGTAAAGATAAGATAAAAACACTATAACTCCCACATATCTTAATATACCAAGTAAAGATAACGTAAAAACACTATAACTCCTACATATCTTAATATACCAAGTAAAGATAAGATAAAAACATTATAACTCATACATATCTTAATATACCAAGTAAAGATAACGTAAAAACGCTAAAACTCCTACATATCTTAATATAAGTAAAGGGTATGTATTCCTCGTTCTTGTTTTTAGATCCATGTCTAGCAAGACATGGGTATACAGGATCGCAGGAACACTAGCTGTAACCATGTTATCAGCAACATACATGCCAAGTGAAGGTTTTACAAGTATTGTGTATGAGTTATAGTGTTTTGTGTTATCTTTACTTTGTATATTAAGATATGTAGTAGTTATACTGTTTTTGTGTTATTTTCACTTGGTATATTAAGATATGTAGGAGTTATAGTGTTTTTGTGTTATTCACAGTTTCTTTTTATCTATAAAAAAAAAGAAAAATATCAAGACCGACATTGACGCTTGCTCAAGTACTCCTGCCACGCCTATAATAACAGGTTACATTCATTGATCAACTTGCAAGTTCGATTACTATAATTCTAAGTCTTCACAATCCATACTGGCAAGCTCGGTTGAGCTGCATAACTTCAGCCAGGCACTAGTAGAATAAGTCCTGATACGGTTTGTTTCGTACTTTGGGAAGGACTGACTATGAGACAATATCATTGTTGCTTGTGAGTGGAAACAAGCTGAAAAATCGTTACAAACACAGTTCTCTCCTTATACATTGAAGTTTGGATGGAATTTTCCCCGCAGTTAAAGTACTATGATGAGAGTAATTTTGGAAGCCTGCTGGTGCGTTAAAAATCTAGGGATAAAACAAGGGCGGCGAGTAAACTTTATGAAAAATATTGTAAAATAATACGGTAGAACTAAAGTTATCGTTCTTTCATAACTAGTAAGTTCTTAAAATTGTTCACGTTATTCGGATTTATGTTTAAAATATGGTAATCATGAATACTTTCTGGCCTTTGGTTCTTTAAAAAATCAATTTCAGACCTATTCTCGTACGCATACCGACTTCCATCCCATTGCGTTCGTTACTGAGAACTTTTCACAATTGTCGATAGAAAGAAGGTTCCTTGAAATCAACTGTTAATACGTCATTCTGTATTCACTGGTGTTCAATTATATATCTGAACTATTTCTGACTATAAGAAGTCATTAAATACTCGCGAGCCTATCATAATACCGCTCTGTATTTTATCTAATAACATACATTAAGTGGCCCGGCATGGCCAGGTGGTTAGGGCACTCGACTCGTAATCTGAGGGTCGCGGGTTCGAATCACCGTCACACCAAACATGCTCGCCCTTTCAGCCGTGGGGGCGTTATAAAGTGACGGTCAATCCCACTATTCGTTGGTAAAAGAATAGCCCAAGAGTTGGCGGTGGGTGGTGATGACTAGTTGCCTTCCCTCTAGTCTTACACTGCTAAATTAGGGACGGCTAGCGCAGATAGCCCTCGTGTAGCTTTGCGCGAAATTCGAAAACAAACATACATTAAGTAAAACAAACACTCTTCATGGAAGATAGTTTGACACATTAAGCAGGGAAATAAAAGATGTCTGGTGTGATGACATCTTACGCAGTCATTTGGTTGTTCGGATATTTTTCGAAAATAATTTTAATACAAATTTAAGAGTTTTTAGAAGATAACAAAGTTATGCTGTCTCAACAGACAATCTAAAAATAGTGTTTAAATGTTTATCATAATTAATAGTACAGTTTCAACCAAACAATATAAAAACAATGGTACAGTTTTAACCTTTCAATCAAATTATGTCAACATAGTATAACATAGTTTTAACAAAACAATGCAAAAAAGCACAATTTTAACCGATTTAAGAATAATAGCACAGAGTTAACCTAACAATACAAAAATAATATTACAGTTTTAGCAAAACAATGTAAAATAATAGTACAGTTTTTAACAAAACAATGTAAAAATAATAGTACCGTTTTAACAAAACAATGTAAAAATAAGAGTACAGTTTTAACAAAACAATGTAAATATAGCAGTACAGTTTTAACTAAACAATGTGAAAATAATATTACAGTTTTTAATAAAACAATGTAAAAATAATAGTGCAGTTTTAACAAAACAATGTAAATAATAATAATAGTACAGTTTTTAACAAAACAATGTAAAAATAATAGTACCGTTTTAACAAAACAATGTAAAAATAAGAGTACAGTTTTAACAAAACAATGTAAATATAGCAGTACAGTTTTAACTAAACAATGTGAAAATAATATTACAGTTTTTAACAAAACAATGTAAAAATAATATTATAGTTTTAGCCCCCCAATGGCACAGCGGTATGTCTGCGGACTTGCAACGCTAAAAACCGGGTTTAGATACCCGTGGTGGCCAGAGCACAGATAGCCCATTGTGTAGCTTTGTGCTTAACTTCAAACAAACAAAATTACAGTAAAAATGATAGTAAACTGCTACCTAAACCTTCAAGAGTAAGTCGTTTTAACCACTTATTGAAAAAATAAAGTAGTAGCCTTTATATAAGCTCAAAACAAAATGATTCCATAAAAACCACCTGGTATAGAAAAGTAGCAGGGATCTGTATCATATTTACCAATCTGTTTGCTGAGGAAGAAACTTACTTAAATGTTTTTCAAAATAAAATATTGTCAAACGTTTTTTTTATATATAATAATAATTGTGCCATTTAATTTTTTCTTACGTTATTTTTATGTAAAAAATAATAAAGATTGTTTCCGATCGTTTGAGCAGTTCAGAGTAATAAGAATATGTTTTAAATATTTATAAAAACTTTTATTTCTACAACGATGTAGCTAGTTCAGCTACTAATGTAACGACCCACGTGCATACAGCCGCGTGAACTCAGCGTATTGAAGCATTACTTTACAAGACACGTCTTTGCAACACGCCCTCAATGGTTCAGCGGTAAGTCTGAAAGTTTATAACGCTAAGGAGCGAGTTTAGATACACGCCATGGGTACAGCACAGATAATCCATTGTGTAGGTTTGCGCTTAGCTAAAAACAGTTTACAATATTTTTGTTAACAATACAGTATTTAAAAATAGATTATGTTTTCAAGAGAAATTTGTTTAAAATAATTTTTGCCAACAATAAACAACTTTTGAAATGAATATTTTCTAAGAAATGTAGTTGACAGTATGTTCTTTTTCAACAATAAACAATATTTGGATACAGGACATTTGAACAGTTTGTTTGTATGCTTGTACAAGGCCATCTCCGCTAACCAGCTCCAATTTTAAACAGATAGATTAGAGAAACGGCTTTTAGTCAACATTACAAACTGTCGACTCT